AAGACTGGAAAAATGTTGCCTGGTCTGATGAGTCTCGATTTCTGTTGAGACATTCAGATGTTAGAGTCAGAATTTGGCGTAAACAGAATGAGAACATGGAACCATCATGCCTTGTTACCACTGTGCAGGCTGGTGGTGGTGGTGTAATGGTGTGGGGGATGTTTTCCTGGCACACTTTAGGCCCCTTAGTGCCAATTGGGCATCGTTTAAATGCCACGGCCTACCTGAGCATTGTTTCTGACCATGTCCATCCCTTTATGGCCACCATGTACCCATCCTCTGATGGCTACTTCCACCATGTCACAAAGCTCTAATCATTTCAAATTGGTTTCTTGAACATGACAATGAGTTCACTGTACTAAAATGGCCTCCACAGTCACCAGATCTCAACCCAATAGAGCATCTTTGGGATGTGGTGGAACGGGAGATTCGCATCATGGATGTGCAGCCGACAAATCTGCGGCAACTGTGTGATGCCATCATGTCAATATGGACCAAACTCCCTGAGGAATGCTTCCAGCACCTTGTTGAATCTATGCCACGAAGAATTGAGGCAGTTCTGAAGGCAAAAGGGGGTCCAACCCGTTACTAGCATGGGGTACCTAATAAAGTGGCCGGTGAGTGTATATTTTTTTAATTATTTCACCATTTAAGAGGCTTTGAAGCTGCTAACGTTCACACTATATGCACAATAACACTAGAACAGACACCAGTAACACCAGCAGACGCTCAGTCCCTCGTAAGGACCATTAACACTCTCCCAGCTCACAGTTATACGTTCTAGAGCATTTTTATAATGTTCCCATTATGGTCTGAACATTCAAAACATCTATTTTAAAAGAAAAATAATAATGTATTTTTCTTGTTTATGTGAACGTTGAGGGAACATTTCAGTGTATCATTCTTCACACATTATGGAATGTAATATTTGAATGTTCTTGAACGTTTAGAAACAAGTAGCAACATTTAAACTGAATTAATATAATTTTTTTAAAGTTCCATGAATGATGTATAAATAATGTTTTTGTGCTAATGTTTAGAGAACATTATTAAAGACCAGATAACTTTGAACTGACGTTCTATTAACGTTACTTGAAATTTGAGAACCCTGTTAGCGTGGTTACAGCTCCAATTAAACACATTATTAATATTATTATTATTATTATTATAATAATAATAAATGCTTTAACAAAAATATGCTTGCATGTTTCTGAATGAACATCTCGTCCCACAAACGTCCAGAGTAAGCGGATTAATGCGATTGTTTTTATAAAAACTGAGGGGTGATAAATGTACAAACATCTGAACCGTTCCTGTAAAGCCAATGAACATGTTTCTTCTGTGCTTGACCTTTGACCCTTCACTGTAGTGAGTCCGTGTGAGTCCGTGCGTATGCTAATGAAACCGGAACCGGCGGTCTCTGCACATGATTGTGTGTCTGTGACTCGTGCCGCTAATATTTGACGTAATTACACTTAAGTGCTCGTAGTTACATCCAGACGTGTGTGAAGACGTCGGGAGCTCTTTGATGATGTCGTGTTCCTCTTTCATCTCGTCTGCAGATTCCTGTACGAACTCTCCCAGATCCCGGATTTCGCGGGCCGCTCTCACTGCATCATATTCCGGACCGTGTTTGTGGACTCCATGTCTTCTGTCCACCGGAAAGTGGAGACCATCTCTACTGTGTGCAAGGTGAAATCAAGCCGTTAATGTCACGCAGGTGGTGGAGTAATTACTACTTATAATGAATCAGTTTGAGATTTAATTAATGCCAGATTTTTGGGCATTTGAGGACTAATTCTCATTTTTCCTTAGTTATTTTGCTTTATTTCCAGATTCACTAATAGGCTCGATCTTACGCATTTGAACAGCACTTTTAATATCACTTATATCCATACGCAAATGAGATTCGGTTATATAATAATAATAATAGCACTTATATCCACATGCAAATGAGATTTGGTTATATAATAATAATAATAGCACTTATATCCATACGCAAATGAGATTCGGTTATATAATAATAATAATAGCGCTTATATCCACATGCAAATGAGATTTGGTTATATAATAATAATAATAGCACTTATATCCATACGCAAATGAGATTCGGTTATATAATAATAATAATAGCACTTATATCCATATGCAAATGAGATGCGGTTATATAATAATAATAATAGCACTTATATCCATATGCAAATGAGATGCGGTTATATAATAATAATAATAGCACTTATATCCATATGCAAATGAGATGCGGTTATATAATAATAATAATAGCACTTATATCCATATGCAAATGAGATGTGGTTATATAATAATAATAATAGCACTTATATCCATATGCAGATGAGATTCGGTTATATAATAATAATAATAGCACTTATATCCATATGCAAATGAGATGCGGTTATATAATAATAATAATAGCACTTATATCCACATGCAAATGAGATTTGGTTATATAATAATAATAATAGCACTTATATCCATACGCAAATGAGATTTGGTTATATAATAATAATAATAGCACTTATATCCATATGCAGATGAGATTCGGTTATATAATAATAATAATAGCACTTATATCCATATGCAGATGAGATTCGGTTATATAATAATAATAATAGCACTTATATCCATATGCAAATGAGATGCGGTTATATAATAATAATAATAGCACTTATATCCACATGCAAATGAGATTCGGTTATATAATAATAATAATAATAGCACTTATATCCATACACAAATGAGATGCGGTTATATAATAATAATAATAGCTCTTATATCCATACGCAGATGAGATGCGGTTATATAATAATAATAATAATAATAGCACATGCACACTCTTCAAGAACTATTTACAAATAGCAAAATAATGCAAAATACATAAACATAATAAAGTCAGAAATAAAATGTATATGCAAACCCTTCACCAAGTAGACATGCAACAAGACGAGGTCATGTGATACTGATTGAAATAATTATTGTTGCATGGTGCAAGACTTTTTGAATTAGTATGTTTATATTTGATTATTCCTTCCAATTCCAAAGTAAGGAACATCAAACATGATCTTCTTGACTCATTTCATTGAACTTCCACCAAAAAAAAAAAAAAAAAAAAAAAATCTGTAAAGATTAAAAATGTAATGAAATCAGAAAATATTTATATGAGACCTGCGAAAAAATGAGGTCATGTGACATCTTGACATGTGTGTGTGTGTGTGTGTGTGTGTGTGTTTGCTGTGCTTCTACAGGTGTTTCTTGAGAATGACAGTGTGAAGGATGTGATCGGTGTCATTTTGGCCTTTGGAAACTACATGAACGGTGGAAACCGGACCAGAGGACAGGCGGATGGATTCGGACTGGAGATTCTTCCTAAATTAAAAGATGTCAAGAGCAGGGTATTAAAATAATAGCACTATAAACCTGAACTGAACTCGATACGGTCACCTCAACCTCTAAATCATTCTTTCCTTCTCCCATCAGGACAATCATATGAGCCTGGTGGATTATGTGGTGTCTTACTACCTGCGGAACATGGACGAGGTACGGCCGCTAAACTGCGCTTTCCCGCGCATCACCAAAACGCTCTCAGCGGGTGTTTAACCCCATAAACGCACTGTAGCTTTCATGCAATGCAATAAAAAGAGCAAAGCCATCTGAAGAAATCAGAGATGTGGTGGTGCAGAAACTGTTACAAATTCAAACTGTTATTTTTCTGACACAATCTGCAGATATTAGTTCTTGTTTTAAGCAAAAACATTCATTTTAGTGGATTATGAGAGTATACATAACTCCAGAATTACTCATTTAATCCCAACATTCCCAATCAATGTATAAAATGCAACCTAGAGATAGGAACTTTATACCATTGCTTATGGAAGTGCCTTTTTCGGGAAAAGGTTTTGGACTTGTTGTCACTGGTGGTGAAACAGAATGTCCCCAAATGTCCTAAACTTTGTATATTTAATATTTTCCCTGTACCTTGCACTTTAACGAACTCTGGTAAGAGAAAGTTGACCTTCTGTTTATTACTAGCAAAACTTGTAGTCGCTCGTCATTGGAAAAACACAGAAAGCCCTAATTTTAAACAACGGTTACAGGAGTTGTCTTGTTGTTTGGCTATGGAGAAACTCACATTTATTGATTTTTTTTAAGTTAATTTAAAAGTTTTTCAAAGTATGGAACCCCTTTATAGTTTTTTTGAAGGAAGCTGAACCAAATAGTTTATTTTCTGTGTAACCAGGCATAGCATTTTTTTATATATTAATTTTTTTATTCATTTTTTTTATTCATTTTTTTTTTATGTAAATGTTTCTAAAATCAATAAAGACAGTGTTGATTTTTTTTAAAATACATTTTTCAGAAAACAAGACTTAATATCTTCAGTCTGCATCTCAAGTAAATGTATCTTGATTTAATAATGTTTTCTCAGCTAACGGGAAACAATTCTTCCAGTTACGTTAATATAATGTCTATTCAAAGTATCTGGTCTTTAATAATGTTCTCAACACATTATTTATACTGTATGTCGTTTATGGAATGTTTTTTTTAAATGTTTCAGTTTGTCTAACGCTTTTTTAAATGTTGCTACTTTTTCGGAACATTCAGAGAACGTTCAAAAGTAACATTCCCATAATGTTTGAAGAATGAGGAAATGGAATGTTCCCGAAAAATTCACATAACCAAAAAAACAACATCAACTGGACGGTTTTGAACGTTCATAGAACATTCAGAAATAATGTTTTCTTAACCTAAATGGTAATGTCAGCAAGAAGGGTCAATACTTGTAATAGAAAACAAGACAAAAATACCAAGTAAGAAATTTTTTTTTTTTCTGAAAGGTTGTGTTGTTATTGTTGTGTTTCAGAATGCAGGAACAGAGAAAAGTGTTTTCCCGCTGCCTGAACCTCAGGATCTCTTCCACGCTGCACAGGTCAAGTTTGAAGATCTCGCAAAAGACCTTCGCAAGTTAAAGAGAGAGCTGACAGGTATGAGTCCCATCCGCTGGTGTGTGGTTTAATGCTGGAGATGGACAGAACCACAGTCTCACAAGTAAAAAAAAGTGCTTAAAAGTGCTTTAAAATGTGACTTTTTGAAATTTAAGTCCTGGAAAACCCTTGAAAACAGGCATATTTATAAAGAGGTACTTGAAAAGTGCTTTACTTTTTGAAATACAATATTTTTTTTTTCCGAAAAAAACACAACTACAATCTTTTCACGCAAAATTAACACTGCAGCTCGTCTGATAAACCCCATCAGATCTTTTCTCGATATAAATTACGCCAACATTATAATATAAAATATTATTTATTGAACAATAATAGCCATTGTAAACTTTATATTTAATATATATATTATTAAATACGTTATAAGTTGTATTTTGGATACCTTATAATCTGTAAGGTGAGTTTTAAAAAATCCTTAAAAAATGTTGTTTGATAAGTGAGATCTCTGATTGTAGTTCTTGAAAACTAAAAAGTAGTGCTTGAAAAGTCCTTAAACTAAAAAAGTAGTGCTTGAAAAGTCCTTAAACTAAAAAAGTAGTGCTTAAAGTCCTTAAACTAAAAAAGTAGTGCTTAAAGTCCTTAAACTAAAAAAGTAGTGCTTAAAGTCCTTGAAAACTAAAAAAAAAGTAGTGCTTAAAGTCCTTGAAAACTAAAAAAAGTAGTGCTTGAAAAGTCCTTAAACTAAAAAAGTAGTGCTTAAAGTCCTTGAAAACTAAAAAAAAGTAGTGCTTAAAGTCCATGAAAACTAAAAAAGTAGTGCTTGAAAAGTCCTTAAACTAAAAAAGTAGTGCTTAAAGTCCTTGAAAACTAAAAAAGTAGTGCTTGAAAAGTCCTTGAAAACTAAAAAAGTAGTGCTTAAAGTCTTTAAACTAAAAAAGTAGTGCTTAAAGTCCTTAAACTAAAAAAGTGGTGCTTAAAGTCCTTAAACTAAAAAAGTAGTGCTTGAAAAGTCCTTAAACTAAAAAAGTAGTGCTTAAAGTCCTTGAAAACTAAAAAAGTAGTGCTTAAAGTCTTTAAACTAAAAGAGTAGTGCTTAAAGTCCTTAAACTAAAAAAGTAGTGCTTAAAGTCCTTGAAAACTAAAAAAGTAGTGCTTAAAGTCCTTAAACTAAAAAAGTAGTGCTTGAAAAAGTCCTTAAACTAAAAAAGTAGTGCTTAAAGTCCTTGAAAACTAAAAAAGTAGTGCTTAAAGTCCTCAAACTAAAAAAGTAGTGCTTGAAAAGTCCTCGAAAACTAAAAAAGTAGTGCTTGAAAAGTCCTCGAAAACTAAAAAAGTAGTGCTTGAAAAGTCCTCAAACTAAAAAAGTAGTGCTTGAAAAGTCCTCAAACTAAAAAAGTAGTGCTTGAAAAGTCCTCAAACTAAAAAAGTAGTGGTTGAAAAGTCCTTGAAAACTAAAAAAGTAGTGCTTAAAGTCCTCAAACTAAAAAAGTAGTGCTTGAAAAGTCCTTGAAAACTAAAAAAGTAGTGCTTGAAAAGTCCTGGGATTTCGTTTTACATTATCTGTACGAACCCTGTAATTTATTACGCCTTGATAATTTACACAGCGCCAGCAAATGAGCTCAGAAGTGATTCTTTCTAGTGAATCTTTTGAATCACTAAACAGAGTTCTTTAGATTGATTCACTCTTCAGTGATGTCGCCCAGTGAGTCATTGAATCATTTGCCCAAACGGTTTATTATCTTTTATCCGAATGATGTTGCTGCAATGTTTGCAATCTGTCCATTTAAAAAGCAGCTTAAAGCCACTTCTTTTCATGAAACAGTTTTTACACTGGAAAAAAGCACTTTTACCACAGTTGTGCTCGGGGCCGCCGCAGGGGTCAAAGGTCACGCCCCCCCAGCCCCTGGTGTCTGCAATTATTTAAATCAGCCAATAATATGGCATATGAAAGCAATTAGATATGCTCTCTCCTCATTCCCCTCCATTTGAGAATCGTTGTTAAAAACTCTGATCCTCAGTGACCCGAGGGAAAAACACAGAACGGCTACAAAACCACTGCCGCCCCACCTCGAGCTGTCTGTCACTCACTTATTAGCACAAAAATGCAAGACAATAAATACAGAACAAGGGCCTTAGCATTTGATCCACACCACAACACAAAAAAAGCCCCGTCTGGCGTGCGAGTCCTCGGGCGTTGGCATGAGATCGTAAGGAGAGTGTTGCAAGCGCACCTACGACTCAGTCTTTCTGGACACGGATAAATATTTATGCCATGCTATCATAAAGAGCTGCAAGTGTTCCTAATTATTCCTCGAGTCATTTCTGTGTGAAGTGAGAGCGGAGAGGAAGTCGAGGTGGTGAAGAAAGAGTTTCCGAGATTCGAGGTCTGTGCATCTGACGTACACGTGTGAGGCTTTCGACACGCTGTCCTACTTCTGCTCCACCACACTGCCAATCTGTGAAGCGTTTCACTGCCGGGAATAAACATGTAACACCATACAGGGGTCCCACGGGTCCTTGAAAGTGGGTGAATCTGGAAAAAATTCAAGGCCCTGGAACGTTTTTAAAAATATACATACACACATGTACAGGTGAAACTGGAAAAATTAGAATATCGTGCAAAAGTTCAGTAATTCAACTTAAAAGGTGAAACTAATATATTATATAGACTCATTACATGCAAAGTGAGATATTTCAAGCCTTTATTTGATATAATTTTGATGATTATGGCTTACAGATATGAAAACCTTTTCACAATATTCTAATTTTGAATTTGGGGTTTTCATAAGCTGTAAGCCATAATCATCACAATTATGAAAGATATGAAGAAAATCTTGTTTTCTGGGGAAATAGGTAAAAATTAAGTGAGTTTTTGCTTAAAACAAGCAAAATTATCTTCCAATGGGGTGAGAAAAATAATATTGTTTCTGTTTGAATTTGGATTATTTTTCTGACCCCATTGGCGGATAATTTTGCTTGTTTTAAGCAAAAACTCACTTAATTTTGTTTTATTCCCCCCCGGAAAACAAGTCATGACATTTTATGGCATTTTACTCATCTAGTAAATGCATCTTGATTTTTATCTAAATATCTAAAAGGTGAAACTAATATATTATATAGACTCATTACATGCAAAGTGAGATATTTCAAGCCTTTATTTGTTATAATTGTGATGATTATGGCTTACAGATATGAAAACCTTTTCACAATATTCTAAATTTGAATTTCGGGTTTTTCATAAGCTGTAAGCCATAATCATAAAAATTATGACAAATTCAAGCCTTGAAATATCTCACTTTGCATGTAATGAGTCTATATAATATATTAGTTTCACCTTTTAAGTTGAATTACTGAACTTTTGCACGATATTCTAGTTTTTCGAGTTTCACCTGCTGTACACAGGTCCTTTAAAAGTGCGTGAATTTATTTTGTGCTCTAAGTTTTCTGGAAAAATATCCATATTATTCGCCTCAACGTTTGTTGTTGGACATTCCCACATTAAGTCCTTGAGTTTGAGGGTATTGGACCTGAAAGTCTTTGAAAGGTCCTTGAATTTGAAGTTAACCGAGGTGTGGGAACCCTGAAGCTCAGGAGACTTGATGAGTTTTTGATAAAAATCTGTTTTCAAAAGCATTAAATCAAAATTGACACTTCTAGTTTTTATTCTAAATGATTTATCGGTGCACATCATTATTGTGTTAATAATGTTGAATGAGAATCAGTTCCTCTGGCAGCTTCTCTTCTCTGATGATGTGGGCGGGGCTATAACCTGTCACTCACATGAGCTCAGCCAATAGCAAACCACAACCATCCAATCAGACACAATCAAGCCCCGCCCACATGTGTTCTTGTTCCAGAAGCGTTTCTCTCAGATATACGACATAATAGAGGAGAAATTAAAAAGTGAACAATGAACAAAGAGAAAGTGCGCAACTAAATGATGTTTATAGTTAGAGCTGTACAATTAATATGAATCATTACTAGTAATTTTGTAGGATCCGTGTTGCGGAAAACGTGGACAGATTTACATAGAAACTCAAAACTCTTTGCCACAATTATGACTGAAATATTTTACTATTGTACAATAGAGTGTATTTCCTAAAGCAATAATAACATTAACAACACATTTGATTAAAACAGTATTTTTAAGGAATATCTCGCAATATTGCTTTAATTTAAACAGCTGTTGTGCAGCACTTCATTTGATTGCGTTTATAAAATAACGATTTTAACGACACGGCGTATTGAGAACACGACGCTGAGTGATTAACTCGTCACTCGTCACGACTAAAATATGATATCTACTGTAATCTGCAGGGTTTTAACTCAGCGAGTCTTCAGCAGTTCCTGCCTTTCAATCCCAGAACACCAATCATTTTCTTCTTACGTAAAAAAATTAAGATTTTCTTAAGAAAAAATTTGAAAATTTCAAGAATTGCACTTAGGAACATTCTTACGAACTTCTTACAATTTATCTTAACTTCTTTCTGAACCCCTTAAGTGTCACCATAGCCATTACATATTTAAAACAGTAATATCCTATACTAAACCTAAACTAATATTGATAAACTATATATCATTTGAAAGCTTACAATCTGTAGTTTTTATACTCCTAAGGCGTGTTCAGACCTTTATTTAGTAAATAGTGATGAACATGAAAATCAGGAAAGAATGGTAGAAACCTCAGTTTGTTTTCATGCCAAGAGTTTAAAAGATAGCATCCATTCATTTTTTTTTTAATTATTTCAAAATATTAATATTTTAATATTTCCGTGAGTCCGGCCCCAGATCCAGAACTTCTGTTATTGTTTAGTTTGTTCATAACTTTGAGAGAGCGTCAGCTAGAGTTCCTGTCAGAGTCGGTCGTCCCCGCTCGTCGTGTGTGTGTGTTTAAGTGTTTGTGTTTGCTGATTTTACACCCGTGGCGTGTGACACGGCCTGGCGCAGGGGTCGCGACCCGGGGTCGTTCTCAGGGGCCGTTATATGTCTGAGCGCTGAGACGGAGATGCCCTGAGACGCCCTGACTGCCCTCCACACTGCTC